GGTATAACACCAAAAAAAAAAAGTTTCCAAAAAGAAAAGCCTACCTGACTAGCCATGAAATTGACTGATATTCTCAAAATCCCCAAGCGCTTCTGCAGGACACCAAAAAAACAATAAGGAAAATTTAATCATGTTAACAATTTTCTTGCTTGGCTTCTCATTTGGGGCAGGGGTTGGAAAGGAAAGAAAATCCAGTAAACACAGTAATTGCTTTCAGGGACAGAGGCAGAATTTGAGTAATATCTTTATCTAACAATTCATTCCTAAGCAAGTAATTTTTAATGCTCATATTCTTGTATTCTATTCAAATTTGAGAGTAATATCTCTTTTGGACAGGAGAAAAGGGAAACAGAAGAAACAAGAGAGAATAGAATTTTTTTCAGTAAGATCACTAAGTAGATGAAGCGATAGGTTATTGCATATTTTTGGTAACTAGAAACTCCACTTCCTAGATAATGAAGCTTAAAGAAAGTACAACCATATAATTTATCAGCCAAACTGGAATATTTTTGAAAATGAAAAGGGGACAAAATTAGTAATTGTGTTGGAAAAAACAGGCATAACATAGGACAATGGGGCTGTCCCCACCAAATCAGGATATAGTCATTCCACCTAGAATTCTGCAGTTTGTACCTACATCAATAAATTCTAAAATTATTTGTAAAAGGTGGTAAGTTAGATAGTTGCATGAGCAATTTCAGAAATTCTTTGATGGAGTAGAAAACCTCAAAGGGTAGCTGCTTGTTCCTCTCTAGCATACACTCCTTGGTTTTTTGGTTTGTTACGTCCTTTTGCTACTGTTATTTTTGTTTGAAGGCAAGTGTGTTTCTTGTTATCTGTTTATTTTTACTTGTTTGTTTCATTGAGGTGGGGGTGTGTTTGTATGTGTGTGTTGAGAGGTTCTTGCACGCTTTCACCCAGGCGCTCGGTCTACTAAGTAACTCGCTCTCAAACAGCAACTAACAATTGCTGCGCCTGCGCTTTTCTGCCTCCACCGCTAACTGAGCCGCCGGAAGCTTTTCCCTCTTCCCATTGGCCCGCTGCTGGACTAGTTGGTCGATACTGCGCATGCTCCATATCGTACCCTCTTTCCCCGCCCCCCAACTCTCTCCATTGTCGCTAACACGCCTGCGCGAGCGGGCGTGCCCCGGAAGCAGTTCTTTAACCTGCTGACACGTAGCAACGGGGCTAGTACAGGGTCCTTAGTTGAGTTTGGGGGGTTACTGGACGCTGCCGGAGCTACCGCCGCCACCGCCTCCGCCTCCGCCGCCGCCGCCTCCACCTCCGCTTCTGCCTCCGCGTTTGGTGAGTGCCCAGTTCCGTGGCTCACTGTTCGGTTTCTCCCCGCACCTGGGCAGCGCGGCTTGTTGCCGCCTCTCGGCACCGCGCCCCGGTCCTGTCACTCAGACCTTCCCTCCCTTTCGGGCCTTGCTTTGACGAGGCCCCTGCAGGAGTCTGCGCTTTTCTGGCCGGCCCAGGCCTTATTTTGCGGGAGGCTGTCGTGTTGTCAGCTCTCCAGAGGTGAGGAATCATCTTTGTTGTTGTTGATATTTTAGACCCCACGGAACCCCTCCTCCCACGTCCCTGCCCCGAACCCAAGGCATATCAGCTCCTTGAAGTGGAGGTGTCTTCTCGGGCCTCGCCTTAGAGTCTAGACATTTCTTTAGCACACCCCACCCCCGACCCATCTTCCAAATGCTGCCCCCCAAAATTTTAGAAGAGTTATTTACTGCCTTCTGAGGGTATTTGCTTAAGTAAAGTATCAGGACCGAAGTCAGGGAGGACCTTGGGCATAAGCAGTCTTTGCTGTTTCTTTTTATTGCAGATCATTTGCAATGTCAGGCTTTGACAACTTAAACACGGATTTCTACCAGACAAGTTACAGCATCGATGACCAATCACAGCAGTCCTATGATTATGGAGGAAGTGGAGGACCTTATAGCAAGTAACTTTTCAACTTTGCCCATTTACTTAGTTGAGATTGCATTGAAAGCATTTACCCCAAATGTTTGGTTCTGCCTAAGAGTGAATGTGTGAACATGTTCCGTATCAGGAACGTGACTTTTCATAATCTTTATACCTCCGGAGAGATCTGTGACACTTGTTTGGGTTGGAAGGGATTGCTCTATTTAGGGTTTGGTATCTTACGCACAATTTTCAGGTGTGCCATGAGTGGAAAAGTAGATTCTTGAAGAACCTTTTTCTAGTGACAGTATTTGTACATCATTTAAAATATGGATAGAAGTTTTAAGTACCTAGAAGATAGGCTGTTTAGGCCACAAGACGAGTTAAAAATTAAAATCTTTTGACAGCTTGTTCAGTAGCTAAATGAGTCCAACTTTCAGACTTTATCAACTGTTAACTGAAAGCCCTGAGTGACACTATTGAACAGTGTAAGCTCCATACTATGAATCATCAGGTGGTTTTCATAAAGCAGCTGATAATCACTTTTATTACTCCACACACCAAAACTTTATGATCAGTCAGTACACACAAATTGCCAGTTACAGACTGAAGTGAGGGGGACTCAAAACCTTTCATCCATGAACTGTTGAAAAAACAAAACCAAAACTCTGTTCTTTTTCTAGTCCATGGTGTTTGTGGCAAAAAACTTAAAGCTTTTTACCAATCTCCTCTAGGACATCATATTCTTAGTTTCTTAGGTCCTTAAAGTTAATCTTTTCAGCCTGCCATCTGGTGAAGGCGTTTCCTATACCAGGCCTACTTAACCCTTTTTAGATGGTCCATGACCACTTTGAGAGTCTTAGGAAAACTGTGGGCCTATTTCTGAGAAATATGTGCATGCAAACACCCACAGTAATGTGCATATAATGTCCACACAGTTCGTGTGTTACCTGATGTGCATCTATGGACTCTGAATTAAAAACCTAATGAAGATTGTCCCAGGATGAGGGCATGGAAAGGGTGCGTATCCAATCTGAGAGAAACATTAGTACTAGAATGTGTTTGAATTAATAAATCTGAATGAAAATGCCCAAGAATTTAAAAAAGCAAAAATCAAATTCAGCCCCACAGTATCATTTGTCTTGTATAGGCTATACTTTTTACAAAACAAAACTCCTTGAATCTGCTTATTTTTTGATACATTCTAAAGCTTCCCCCCCCCTAAAATTCAACACATTGGACAATAGGAGTTAACATGTAAATAATGCTGTCTGTGAACCACTTTTTTTCTTTCTTTTAAATTCTCAATTACATACCATTGAAGATTTATCTCTTTTATCAGTTAATTGGGCAGAATTGGAAAAGTCATGTTGAGAAATTACCACTCATTTATTTACCTAAATATGTGTTTCTTGTGATTGTTCAGTGTATGACAGGGCAGATGAATATAAGATTGGTCAGGGTGCTGCAACAGTGGTTTGGAAAACCTGTCTCTGTATGTGGGCCTGTTTTTAACCAAATGATATTGATGTTTGGACTCAACAGAATTATTCCATTTAGATTGCAGCCTCCTAGCTTTATCTGTCTCTGCCTTTCTTTCCTATGTTTCTTTCTTTCTGTCCATGTTTGCATCTCTTAAAGGTATGACTTATCTTTTCTTTACACTTAGCATCTCATTTCAGTACTCCACAGAGCAGAATATCTAAAGATATTCTCTTGCTAGCTATTCTCACAATTCCATTCCAACCAAATCATGTACCAGTAAGCATTGCTTCTGTACTAGTGAAAAAGTTTAATTCCAGGTGCTTATATAAACATTACTGCCAGTTAACGAATGTGAGTTTATAGATGATGCTTAGGAAAATAAGAAGCCTAATGTGTTAGCAGTAATGACTGGGTTTCTGAACTTTATTAAAAAAAAAATTGAACTCCTCTATATGTACCTATATGTATTGTTTCTGCACCCTAATGACATTTTTATGTCCATGTCAGTTTACCAAATAACAATTTGTTTGTTACCCCAACTTGGTAACAAGGATCAGCTAACTTTTATCTCTCTGTTGATGAAAATTTAGGTTCAGATTGCATCTGACTTGGATTGTCTTCAAATTTGACTTGACTTATTATTAGTCCCTAGTTCTACATTTGCCCTATGAAGTCAGCTTTAACATTCTGCCTAGTTTCCACTCTGGATACTGTACATTCATACATTCATACAACAAAAAATAAACCCAAATGGTAAAAGGCCCTTTGATCTCAATCTGTCATATTGGACAGGTTCCACATTGTATTCTAGATATGCCTATAAAATATTTAGTAATACCAATTGCATATTTTTTAAAGTCTTGAAAGCTAGTACTTTTTCATCTTCCGAAATAGCTAATAACACCTTTGTGGACTATGTAAGGATTTTGATGAACTTAAGTAGTCAACCCAGTATATTAAGACGCTTTTTGTCTTTGTTGTTGATACTGAGTGCTTCTGAGAGTATTGGTTTACATCTGCTGCTTTTCCTGCTGTAAAAGTGTTGATTTAGACTATAAAGGTCATGTCTACCATGCAGAGTTTTAGTTTAAAACCAACAGGAGTGAGTCAGGAATTTTCCTGAGCAGATCCTGCTAGAAAAGAAAAATTGTAAAATTCCACGGTGTTGTCTTTGTCACCTTATATCCTGAAGAAGGAATGATGGTGCCACCTTTAAAGCTCTTATTTGTTTGCAGTGTTTCTTTTCCTTACATGAAATTTATGGGTCTGCATCAGTGTTTCTGAAGTGTGGCCTGCAGACCCAGAGGGTTCTTGAGACCTTTCAGGAAGACTTTAAGGTCAAAACTATTTTTGTAAAAATTCTAAGGTGTTATATACCTTTTTAGGTGTGTTGAGATTTGCACTGATGTTGCAGAAGTAATGACTGGTAGAACTGCTGTTACCCAAATATGAGGCAAGACAATGGCATCAAATTGTTCTAGTAATCATTGTATTCTTCATCACACACTTGTTGGGGCAGTGAGGGGAATCATTTTCACTTAAGGGTGCCCTTGGTGAAGCTGTAAGAATTACTGTTTTATTAAATGCTGATCTTGACAACACACATTTTTAGAAAAGTCTGTGTGACAAAATGGGAAACAGTCCTCAAGCACTTCTGCTTCATACTGAAGTACAATGATTATCTCTGGGAAAGCCCCTGTGCATTTTGAGTCACAAGTTGATTCAGCCACTTTTTTGTGGAAACCATTTTTATTGGAAAGAACATCTGACAGACAAGCTATGGTTATTCAGACTTGAATAATTTCTCAAAAATGAATGAAGTGACCTGTTACTTCAAGGAAAACAATTAACAGTATGTGTGGCCAATGATCAATTTCAAGTTTTCAGGCAAAAATGAGGATTTTGGAAAACTTGTGTCCATCATTGTGAACTTGTCAGCTTCCCAATAATTAACCATTTTCTGATGAGATCAGTGGTGATATTAACAAATCTGATTTTTTAAAATTTATATATATATTTTATATTAAATGTGTCAATATTTGGAAGAGCTGCATAATTCATACTAATATTTTCTAAATGGCCAATGCATGATGTTACAAAATCATACATGAATAATAAAGGATCCAATTAAAGTATAAGACAGATCAGTTTATTCTAATACAACAGAGTTCATTAGCATTGTTTCTATTTCCATGTTGCAAGTTAAGTTTAAAAAACTACCACTTTGCTTTGCATTTTGATGTATCAAAAAGAATATTCGCTCTATGCACACGGGAAGATGAAGATGGCCGAACAGGTGACCAAGTCAGTGCTGTTCGTGTGTCTGGGTAACATCTGTCAATCACCCATTGCAGAAGCAGTTTTCAGGAAACTTGTAACAGATCAAAACATTTCAGATACTTGGGTCATTGACAGTGGCGCTGTTTCTGACTGGAACGTGGGCCGGTCACCAGATCCAAGAGCTGTGAGCTGCCTAACAAATCATGGCATTAACACAGTGCATAAAGCAAGACAGGTTACCAAAGAAGACTTTGCCACTTTTGATTATATACTATGTATGGATGAAAACAACCTGAGAGATTTGAATAGGAAAAGTAATCAAGTTGAAAACTGCAGAGTGAAAATTGAACTACTTGGGAGCTACAATCCACAGAAACAACTCATGATTGAAGATCCTTATTATGGTAATGACGCTGACTTTGGGACTGTCTACCAGCAGTGTGTGCGGTGCTGCAGAGCTTCCTGGAGAAGGTTCGCTGACCTGGGTCCAGTCCTGCTGTGGCCCAGGCTCATCCCACAGGCCCGCATTCTCCGTCAGGTGTCACAGTGTCACCATTCCCTAGCCAAGGCTGCAGCCCTTTCTTCAGTTAACTCACTGTTTCTTACCTTAAAAAATAATTGTAGATGGAAATCGGTTGTTGTGTTTGGCGGAAGAATAAATAAAATTTTTGATTCAGACAGTTTATGGGGTAAGTGTTCTTACACTAGTTGAACCTCCCACTTTGCCCCAGTTACAGAAATAGTGGAACAAACAAAATAGTAGAGCAGTGAAATAGAACATAATGAAGTAAAACATCACTGTAAGGCCCATCAGCATCTGAGCCCATTGGCACTTCCAAGAATCTGCACTACCTTCTTCCCTCTGTGTGGACGGGGCCCCTGCCCTGCACTACCTCTTGATGCCAGGGCCTGGTGTCCAGAGATGTTGGCGAGAAGTGTTCATATATGCGCAGGGTGCACACTTGTGCATTTACAGGACAGGAAGGAAGAAGATTTGTGGGATTAATCTTCAGCACCTTCACTCCTTAGTTTGTGTCTGTCTAGTTGATTTCATAAGGAGGTCAGCTTAAGTGTTCCCGTTTGAACCACTTTGCCTCTGGAAATGTAATTATGTCTGGGAAGAAGGACCCTTGTGTGCTGGTTTACCTTAGGGTCAGTTTGGGGATGGCGTCTGCTTTTACATGCATGTAATTAACCTGAATGTCAAATATAGATCAGCTTAGGTGGGAAAAAAATAATAAGTGGGGAAAAGTCCTTTTATGTTGGAATGCTTAAATATTGATATGTTAAGTATTCTTTTATCAGTGCTTAGTTTATAGGCAAATATAGGTAATTTCTGTGCACTTGGAGATAGCTGATCTAAAATTCACATGAATATATGTCAGAAAAGATTGTTTTCAAATAAACTGGGGAAATTACAGAAATACAACTAAGGTTAAAAAAAAGACTATTCATGATAATCTGGAAAGGTTATTAAAATACTCTTTTCCAACTACAGGTCTGCAACACTAGATTTTCTTCAAATACTTCAACTAAAACAGTATATCACAACAGAATGAGTGCAGGAGCAGATATAAGAATTTGCAGCTGTCTTATATGAAGCCAGACATTAATGAGATTGTCAAAAATAGAATACAGTGCCACTTTTCTCAGTAATTTTTTAAAATAATTTTTTCATAAAAATGTTTATGCTAACATGTAATGGATTTATTGTTACTTTAAATGAATTAATAAGTATTTAAACATTTCTGTTTTAATTTGTAAAATAATAAATATTGATAGATATAACCCACATAAGAAATTTTAGGAGTTCTCAATAATAAATTTTAAGAGTATAATGGGTTCTAAGATCAAAGACTTTGAGAACCATAGGTTTATGTCATTCTTCTTGTTTTTTCTATTGCATACACATTCATATTCTCTTGCTTTCTTTGGAGAGAGAGTATAAAATGCAATTTGTTTATGCAGATTGTAGAAAACTCCATATGGAGCTTTTCTAGCTCTTTCATAAACTCCAGGGTGGGTTTAGGATGCATCCTAACAGAGATCAACACAATAGCATATTTTACTAAATCAGAAAGTGTGAGTTCTTGTCCTAATTCAACCAGCTAGCCCTGTGGAAACTCCGTGTGTGTGTGTGTGTGTGAGAGAGAGAGAGAGAGAGAGACAGAAAATAGTAATCAAGATACTTGCATACCAGAATGACTGGGGAAATGCATGTATAGAAAAAGATATTATGGCTGTCTCTGTCAGGTAGGATTTGAGGGTAATTTTTTACTACAGTTGCTATAAGAGCTGGCTATTGGAATTAAAAAGTCTAGTTCTGAATCCTGGCACCACCATGGACAAATCATTTTAACCCAAATATGTTTCCACATTTTTGTAATGGAGAGGATGATAAAATTGACCTCCTAAAGAATTGTAGAGAGAATAATGTGAGATAATTCACATTAAACACTTAAAACAGTGTTTTACACAGTAACATTCAAAAGGTTATTATTTATGTTTTTGGAAATTTTCAGTAGTTAATATATACCCATGTATTACATATGACATTTTAGAATTAATGAATTTCAACAAATAATAAATATACAGAATTTTTAAAGGTGCAAAGGTACAAAAGTTCATAACCTGAAAATTAAGTCTTTTACTTCTCCTGTCTCTGGGTCCCTTTACCTATATAATTGTGTATATAATGTACGTGTATATATATACACACGTGCACATAGATATGCATACATATTCTAAAAAGCATAGTCACGGTGGGTGCATATGGTATATACTCTTCTGAATATTAGATTTTTTCTTCCCCACTGAATATTTCTTGATTATCATTTCTTACGAGTACAGACAAAACTGCCTCACACCTTTAAAAAGGTGCAGAGTAGTCTATGCCTATATCACAGTGTAGTTACTGATAGCTGTTTATATTGTTTTGGTTTCTGCTTTTTGCTATTAAAATAATGCTGTAGTGAATTCTATATTTTATAGCTAGAAAAATAAATAGTATTTTTTTAAGCATGTTTTGGACTAGCGTGGTAAGTCATGAGAATAAGAGCTATGTGTAGTTGAAACTTCACCTTTGATTTGCTTTAATCAAGATGTTCAGTTAATTTAAAAATTAGATTTAATTTTAAAATCTCAATAATGAGGTCATTAGATTTTTTATATTTTTCAAAAGGGAATTATAAATTTTTAAAGATAATTAGACTAAAAGATCTCTAAGCCTTCTCAGCTCTCATTTTTAAAGTAACTTACTTTTACAATAGTTACTTCTTTATTTCTTACCATTGATAGATAAGTCATATTTTTCAGGAACATAGTAAAACAGGTCTTTAAAAGATATTGCTTCAATATCCGTCTGTTCCCTGTTGTTTTCATCACTAAAAAAGCCATGGTAAGGTTTCCTTCTAAAATGCAAGATTTGTTATAGTACATAGCAAAGGAGACAGTAGGTATACAATTACTTTGAAAAATTAAAAGCACTATTTAGATGCAAGGTGTGCTAATAATGTTTGTTATATTCAGAAAGCTTTCACAAAAAAGAAGCTTGATTTTTTTCCACTTTTTGAAATTGATGGTTGTTCTTAAAGAGATTTAACCACTTGCAAAAAATAACATACTACAGAGAGTAAAGAAGAATGATTTTATACTCATTCATTCTCATGGAGAGATCTGAGTTACAGTGGAAAATTAACGTAACATGCAGTACAAAGTCTGTCATCCTGAGTTTTTATTCATAGTCTTGGGCATAAATTTTATTTCACAGCTATCTTTATGTATGCTCACTAAAGGGGAAAGTACAAGAAAACATTGACGTTTTCATTTGTTGACCTCCTGATGTTTAAAAGCTTAATAGTTTGTGAAATGCTTAAGCACTGCATGAGTGAGTTTTAGCATCATCAGGAAAATTCTCTATAAAATACAACTTATTGTAGATAATCAGCTTGATCTTAGTAATTAATTTCAACCACCGTTTATAAAAACTGGCAAAGAGATATGCTGGGAATTGCATGACTAAGATTTTCTGCCTGTCAGGAATATCAGTTTGGGGCGTTGACATAATTCTGAGAAATGTAACTTACTTTTATTGTAGACAGTATACTGGCTATGACTACTCGCACCAAGGCCCGTTTGTCCCTCCAGACATGATGCAGCCACAACAGCCGTACACCGGGCAGATTTTCCAGCCAGCTCAGGCGTATACTCCAGCTACGCCTCAGCCATTCTATGGAAACAACTTTGAGGATGAGCCACCTTTATTAGAAGGTACGATTGGTTGCAACACTTGATAGTACTCTATAGTACCCAGCTGGTCAGTGAAAATAAATCTTAGTTTGGAGAAGTTACCCTTTTCTTTAAAAGAATAATATTGTAGAAAACAGTTTTCTACTAAAGTGACTCATTTTGAACAGAGTATATATGAAACCACATTGAGCCAGGAGGACCAGATTTTTAATAGATCTTTATAAAGTGATAAAAAAGTATGTCAGTATATGAGCAGAGTAACTTTTACTTCAGATTATTATTGAAATTCTATCAGTGGAAGAAATGAGAGGAAATAGCTTGGTATTGATTATTCTGCATGGAAATAAGCTGACAGAGCTAGTAACATCACTGAAAAGTATGGTGTTTTTCAAATTGTATCCCGAAACACAAAAAGCAGTAGTTCTAAAGTGTTTCTTGTTTTTTTTTTTTTTTTGATACGCTTTGAAAGTCTAGTGAAAGCTATGCATACTCTCCTCAGAAAAAGGCACACACATGCAGAGAGACGTAGTTTTGTATACACAGGGCCTCCAGTGTTCCTGAAGCCTCAGGTATAGAGTCCCTTACTGTTTGTTTTCACAGGGCCTCCAGTGTTCCTGAAGCCTCAGGTGTAGAGTCCCTTACTGTTAACACTGTCCATATAGTCTTTGCTATGCAGACATAGCAGAGTGTCTGTTTCATCATGTCCATACCTGTTTCTAACATCAGACCAGAAATTGGATATTTGTGGAATAAACACCATAATCAGTAAAGACTGATATTGAGGACTCACCAAAATAATATCATCTGATATTGCTAGATCACTCTTTTGATATTGGTGGTTTCATTTTTTCTCCTGTTACAACATAGATTCTGGTAAACTGAAAGTATATCACAAATCCTGATTGACTTCCTTATTTTCTTTTTCTTTAGAGTTAGGTATAAATTTTGATCACATCTGGCAAAAAACACTCACAGTGTTACACCCGTTAAAAGTAGCAGATGGCAGCATCATGAATGAGACTGATTTGGCAGGACCAGTGGTTTTTTGTCTTGCTTTTGGAGCCACATTGTTACTGGTAAGATGTTAGTTGCAACTCTCAGTGTGAGATTAAATGTTCCACCAAGAGCCTTTATTGAGACTCTGCTTATACAATCAAGTCTTTGATGTGTCTTAAATAGTATTGAGTTGTTTGAATTTGTACCTATTCATTACTTCTCCATTGATAATAGATATAGTGTATTTAGAAATCATTTCTTGTTTCACTAAGTGCTTCAGTTATTAGGGAAAAAATATTAATAAATATCATACGGCTTTAGTCTCTCATCAAAATTCCTTCCTTTCAAAAACTGACAAAACTTTTAGTTTATTGCTATTTTTTAAAATTTCATAATTGGGTGGTGTTTTGTTGTAGCAATGCTGGTCTTCTATATATTATTTTAACATTTAATGAATTGAAACATTAAAAGGCAACAGGTTTTAGTCCCTGTCTCCCATCTCCCTAAGAATGTTAAAGCATATTGAAAATGAAAAGTTGTAAAGATAATTATTACTGTTTTATTTTATGTCGTTTCTGAATTAGAAGAGGTAAATGACATAATGGATCGAAGATGGACTTTTTAGTCAGAAAAACTGGGTGTGAACTCAGTGCTCCTACTCTACCCTTGAGCAAAGTCATTTCATCCTTCACCTCCCTCTCATAGATAATACTATGCTTCCCACCTAACAAGTTTGTTTTGGAGATTAAGCAAGACAGGTTATGTGAGAACACTTTGAAAAGTTTAAAGCACTGTATAAGTGTAAGGTTTTATTATTACTATATGAGTGCATTAGTGAACTCAGCTGAGCCCTTTTAAACTTCTGCACTCTTACTCAACTATTTACAAACAAATATTGATTCTAAGAAAAATCCCAAGGATTTTGCTATTTAATGTAATCTGTGGAGATGTTCTCCCAATTGAGTTTTATATGTCAAACATCTGACCGGGAACTTTTTAAAGGCTTCTTTGTGGACTGATTTTAGTGATAGCATAACCTGAATACAATGTTTGTTCACATAGCTGGACTAAGAATACTAACTACAATTAAGCTAACATTCACTGCCCTAAGACTGTTCAGTGCTGTCTTTTATAAGAGCTGAATCTTTAAGGTTTGTGTTTGTTTGTTTGTTTGTCAGAGAACTGTATAAAGCAACCAACAATTTGGGAAAACAATGAAAGAAGAAAATATATTCCATTATATTCCTCTTGCCCAGTTATTTACCACTTTTCTTTTCTCCTCCCCTCCTCACAGAACCCTGGCTCCCTGCTTATCCTGGCTTCCTTTCTCCTAATTCCTCTAACACCCATGTAAAGTGAATAATGAGATTATTTCTGCTGTTAAAAAGATTATAGCTACATCTGCCAATGAGAATAAATTGCTTCAGGGCAATTTTGATGGAATTTGGGTACTTTCAAGTGATACTAGCTACTATCCAAACATCTGAATGGCTTTCCATCTTGTCTCTGTAGTTTATTTGCTTAAAATCAGCCAGATTTCTTTTTAGAAATCTACTACTTTAGGTGATCATACCATGATTTTATATCTTTGTTGAATTCTATGCCAAGCTCAAATGGTAACTAAAAAATGAAAAACAATATCTGTGTGTTGGGAGGTGGATATTTTAAACTTCTTAAGGAGGATATAAAAGCCAGTCTGCTCACTGTTTTACTTCTCCGTATAAAGAATAGGTACCTTTGTGGATTTTAATGCTCACAAATTGTATATCTTCTGTGAGTGCCATTTCAGGTGAAAGAAGCCAAAAATAACTGTTTTGCCCTTAACCTGTAATCTTTTCTTTACCCATAGGCTGGCAAAATCCAGTTTGGCTATGTATATGGGATCAGTGCAATTGGATGCCTAGGAATGTTTTGTTTATTAAACTTAATGAGTATGACTGGTGTTTCCTTTGGTTGTGTGGCAAGCGTCCTTGGATATTGTCTTCTTCCCATGATCCTGCTTTCCAGCTTTGCAGTGATATTTTCTTTGCAGTAAGTGCTGGTCTTTATTTTGGGGGTTGATTGACTAGTTCTGTGTAATATGATTTACCTCACCATCAGTTTGAGATAAATCACTGATTCAACAACATATTAGATAGTGCCTCTTATAAGTGAGGACTGTGTTTTATATTTCTCAGTGATGAATAATGGAAGTGAGAATAAGTTTAAAAATCTTTCATACCATCTCTCTTTTACCTATGATAAAGAATTTAGTTTTTTGCCTACTTAGCAGTGTCCATAAACAAATTGAACAGTGGTGATTGTTAACTTAAATACTGCATGGAAAAGGTCAAGTTGTTTAGAATTATACTTACCCTCTCTTTGATATTTTTTATATCATATCTGACTTCTTAAAGATATTGGGCAGGGCTTCCCTGGTGGCGCAGTGGTTAAGAGTCCACCTGCCGATGCAGGGGACACGGGTTCGTGGCCCAGTCCGGGAAGATCCCATGTGCCGTGGAGCAGCTGGGCCCGTGAGCCATGGCCGCTGAGCCTGTGCGTCCAGAGCCTGTGCTCCGCAAAGGGAGAGGCCACAAACAGTGAGATGCCTGTGTACCACAAAAAAAAAAAAAAGATATCGGGTATATGCTAAGTGGATGAATAATAAACACATATTCTCTCTTTAGCAGCTTTTTAACTAAAAATGGAGCATTCTTTTTATGGAAGAGGCTGTTACTAGCCTACCGTGTTCTCAGATGTACACAGCTTTAAATATGGGTTATTTTAAAATAATATTTTAGGTAAGGTTAAAAATAAAGGTATAGGGCTTCCCTGGTGGCGCAGTGGTTGGAAGTCCGCCTGCCAACGCAGGGGACACGGGTTCATGCCTCGGTCTGGGAGAATCCCACGTGCCGCGGAGCGGCTGGGCCCGTGAGCCATGGCTGCTGAGCCTGCGCGTCCGGAGCCTGTGCTCCGCAGTGGGAGAGGACACAACGGTGGGAGGCCCGTGTACCGAAAAAAATAAAAAAATAAAATTAAAAATAAAGGTATAAATATGAGAAGCTAATAAAGTTGCTTCTCATGGCCAGTGCACAGATGCTCTCTCAACAGTTCAAGCTCCTCCTTGTGGCTAGTGCTGGACGACCAAAGATTGAGCTTTGTTACACTTTGAAAATGAAAGTTTAGGAGAAGAGTATATATCACCTATTTGGTAGTAGAGATTTAGCAGGATGATGGCCTCACAGTGTCCCTGCCTCACTCTTCTCATTTGTTAAGATTGATACATTTACATTCAAATTTTACACACAGTATTTTCTACTGAAACAGCGTTTTCCCACTGGAGTTAGTTTTGCTACCGGGGAACACTTGGCAATGTCTGGAGACAATTTCAGTTGTGAAAAACTGTGGGAGGCATGGATGCTCCTGGTATTTTATGGCTGGAGGCCAGGATGCTGCGTAACTTCCTAACGATGGACAGATACACCCCCACAGCAAAAGTGCATCCACCCCAAATGTCAGTGCTGCCAAGGCTGAGAAATTGTGCTTGATTAAGGAGCAAGATGTGTTATAGATGAGCTTTTTATCACATGAAATAATGGAATTCACTGTGAGGTACATTCCAGCATTTGAAAAACATCTTGATTATTTCTGCGGATATCTACATGTGGATTTTTAAGTGCTTTTTAAAAATTTATTCTTATGTAACTAATCTCATCTGTTTCTCTCCCCTCCCCCTGTTTTTCCTTGTTGGCTACAGAGGAATGGTAGGAATCATTCTCACTGCTGGAATTATTGGATGGTGTAGTTTTTCTGCTTCCAAAATTTTTATTTCTGCATTAGCCATGGAAGGACAGCAACTTCTAGTAGCATATCCTTGTGCTTTGCTATATGGAGTCTTTGCCCTAATTTCTGTTTTTTGAACTGAATTTATCTCGGATGTGGACATCATTGGGCCAAATAGCAAAAAGGACTTTGAACTCTTAAATCGGACCAGCAAAGTGCTACAGTACAACTCTCATGCAGATCTGATGTTTGACTCTTGGAGCAATGGAAGTAAATACGTATCTTTTGTTCATTTTTATAGAACTTTTGAATACTATATTGGATTTACCTGCAGTATGACTAGGTTTAAATGTTTGTGCTAATACAAATAAGAAGTGCTATTTCTTTCGTGTTCCTGCAGCCTTAGAAAAACAGCTCTTCTCCTTGCTAACTATATATTATGATGTTTTTGATGGATTTTTATCAACTGTGGGAAACTAACCGCAGAGATAATAATCTTTCTTAAAAACAACCCATAATAAAGAAGACATAAGACTTATTGGAGAAATATTTTCCAAGGAGTTAGGAAATAAAAATTACCTGTATTCTCAAGTCAGGTGCAGTTGAAGCAAAAAAGCGATCCCAATGTAAAGTTTTATGAGTTTGCACTTCAAAAGTTTGACAGTCCTCTAAATTATCTCATGGAATTTTAGCTAAATTCAGCGATACAAGTAGTTCACAGTCTACCTTACTGTAGACGTGAAATGTGAACATCTCTTCAGATACTAGCATTAACTAAACCACAGTGACCTAGACTCTGCATTAATGCTCATAATTGGATCTCCATGTTTCCCAGGAAAAAGAAAATCACTAACCTTTTTTGCGAAGAATATTTAAAATGTCACAGTTTCAGTATTGCAGTTTCAATGTAAAGTACATTTGATGCTTATTAATTAAAATTTTCCCAGTTAATTTAAAATGTGTTGTTGAGTTTACTTTTGCTAACCCACTGTTCTCGGTGTTCCATTTTCTTTAACTAGGGTCTGGTTTTGACTTGTATTCCCAATTTATTTTAAGCTTTAAGAATAGTGGTCATCTAGTGTAGAATCAAAAAATGAGATTAAACAAAAAGTAGTTTGCTTTGAGTTACATTATTTCCTTGTATTCAGTTTATTTGGTTAATATTGTCATGTTCTCTTGTCAGAAAGTCTGTAAGAAAATACCATATCTTGATGATTGGCTTTTTCTGGAGCCAGATTCTGATTTTAGACAAAGCTCAGTTATGAGAAAGGTGCCATACTGGGAGGGAAAATGTCGCTTTTTTTTTTTTTTTTTTTTTTTTCTTAAGAGGAGGCTTTCAGACTAAATAAAAAGAAATGCCACACTGACATATTCATGGTTCTTTTTTAGAGCTAGTGTTCAACCATAAAAGGTTAAAATAATAAAACATACTTCTTACAAGAAGATCATGATTTCTGATTTTTGGAATTACATATATTTGTTTTCCTTCATTAATATTTAATCTTCTGGAGGAACGTACTCACTAGTAATTAGCTATTGGCTGGGTTTTTAAACTTACCAAATTGTTTTAGAATATTTTTTATTATAATCCTTGGATAGTATCTTTTTTGCCTTTTTCAATTCATTTTATAAGTGTAAACAATTCTTCCTAAGGTAAATGTAATGGGTGCCTTCTGTTAATATCCAGTTCTTCCTAATGAAAAGGGTAGATGATGCTTTGGGAATTAAAATCTCCCTCTGTTAGTTAGACGTAAGACCATTAATCTTCAGCTATATTCCCCAAATGGATCAAACTGTTTTCTTATTTTTTTGCCTCCACCCCCAACAAAATAATTTTTAGGTTAAATCAATAATGTAGAGATTTTTGTTGTTAGTTGTCTTTTATTTAACCCCAAAATGATTAGTTGCAAAACTATTTTATATTCTGTCAGAACAGGTATACAGTGGAATTGCCTTTGATATGAGTTCTCAAGTTTGCTTGTTTACATGAAGAGTCATGCATGACCAAAATTTCCCCTTTATAAAACTCTCTCATCAAAAATACAGTATATGTAGCCTTTACTTTGTGCATACTTTAAAAACGGACATAACTGTGTCTCAGAAATACAATGTGGTAATGTTTTTCTCTAGCATCGGAATAGATTTCTGCTTCTTCAGCTAAGTACCAGAAAGAGCATATGGTTTGCTTTTAGGTCCATTTTATACCCAAACCATGCATGTACCTATAAGTACTGGAGATGCTCTCAGCATCACTAAAAGCTTACCCAGTGACTGTCTCTGAGTAAAACTCTTTGTGAGTGGACTTTTCAGGTTCACTCACTCAAACGAGTGTGTTTATGCAAGCATGTATGCCAAAGACATGCAGTTGATTTTACGTATAGTATAAATGTATATTTTACAACTTTGCTGTAATACGTTTACCAATGGGTGTTTTCAAGAGCTGTATAAGAAAGCTTATAGAAATAGACATTCTTTTGCCAGATAAAGTTATGCAGATAATGAAAAATTCTGTAAATCTTTATAAACACTGTCCTTACTTACTGGTCATCCAATCAAAGAGAATTTTTAAAAATGTATCTAATGATTTGACTTGGGGTGGGATCTAAGTACTATGCATATGACATTTCACAACTATAATAGGCATTGCTCAACTGAAATATATTCCAAAACTAAGTGAGGACAGTTATCTCTGTAATGTTATAGGATAGTCAGACCCAGTCATGAAGAATTATGGGAAATCAAGATGACATTTGGAGATCTGCCTGTTGTCATATAGAGCATATCTAATGTAATGACTTGAACAATTTGCTTAACTTGCCGTGTGGGAGAAAAAATTATATACGACACAGTGCTTAGCCTGTTGTAAAGTTGTGCCAAAAGTTTTCCAAAAAAACGTAACTCGGTATAGATCATCACATGAAGAGTACTTACCAAAGAACAGCACTGGGCCTTCCTTCAAGACTTTAGCTAGAGCAAGCTTCCTACCCAAACAGTAGCCCCAAGTGAAATCTGTCCTGGCAAAGTATCCACTGATTCATTCTGTAGTGTCAAATTCCAAATCACCAAATGAACTCAATTATTGTAAATCTCAATTTATTTGGAAATGAAAGCTTAAGTTATTCCTCAAGCAATGTATTTGTATCTTAATAATATGCTTGTTTTCAAAGTTACTTTAAGAATGAAGCATTTAGTAGTAGGCAGAAACACAAGTAGTTTCTTAGTCACAGTAGTTAATGAGAGTTTCTTGTTTTCTTTTTAGGATGTATTTAGGATTTGGGGGAAGGAGTGGCAATAACAAGATTATCAGGGTCTATTGGAAATGCCCTACGGAAAAATTGGTTCATGTGCTTTAATGAGTAGATAAGTATGATCTGTCATTAGCTTGTCAAGCATACAGTGTTGACTTTCAAACATCTTAAAGCCTGTCCTCACCACTTTCTCCACAATCTAGGCTGTTATTACTTGACACCACCAATGAAGAAATCACTGATTTTTAATCAGTTCTACTTCTGCCACCATCCAAATTATTGAAGTTTGAATTTTAGTGCATTATTAGTAGTACTTGAATTTCAATAAGTTACTTTGTTCTTGAATAAATACCCAGTTTGTAACTGGGCAGTACGTAAAAAGAAACATTAAATATTAAATTACTGATTTCTAGAGATTGGCAAGTGTTACCTAGTCAAGTGTTTTATATTATTGTATTCTATTATCTTGGAATGGTGACCATAAAACCTGAAAAATGAAGTCAAGACTGTGTGTAGTTCTGACTTTTGCATCACAGATAGGAATATTTCTTCCTGTGCATGAAGTTCCTAGTCTAGTTAATAAAGAACATTACCTGCTGATGGAGCACAATGTCCTGTGTGTGTGCAAATAAATTAAAATGATTACATACGCAAATGAGGACTAATTAAATACAGAGTTGTTCTCCTAATTTAAAAGCACAAATACTTCCTTGAGCACATTAGGTTCTAAAAATTGGATATTACATTTTTCATGAGTTTTATTAGGCTTACTTTGCATGTATATATTTTTTTTTTTTTCTGAAACTACCACTAAATATGGTGATAGCTTGTAGGGTGATTAATTACGTATTAAGGCGTTATAATCGCTTTTCAACACTTGCAGGACAAAAGAAATTTTAAATAAGAGAAAACGAAGTACTCATACACATTTAAGATGCTTGTAAATTTATACCTAGTTGGCCTACTCTGATTCTCTTAAAAATAGAGAAAACAACATGGTTATTTCATTTTTTTCCCCCAGGTAAATACAGTTCAAACGAATGTCTTTGTAAAAGTTAATGACACATTTGCTTGTAGGTTTCAGTTTTTGTGGTTTTTGATAATATTATAGGACTTGGTAGCATCTTTTCTCTAGGCAGTCAATGATCCTAAAAGCCCTATTATTTTAGTGCTTGCTTCAGCAGCACATATACTAAAATTGGAGCGATACAGAGATTACCGTGGCCCCTGCACAAGGATGACACACAAATTCGTGAAGCGTTCCATATTTTTAAGACCTAAATGTAAGGCCAGACACTACAAAACTCTTAGAGGAAAACGTAGGCAGAACACTCTGTGACAAATCATAGCAAGATCCTTTTTGACCCACCTCCTAGAGAAATGGAAATAAAAACAAAATAAACAAATGGGACCTAATGAAACTTAAAAGCCTTTGCACAGCAAAGGAAACCATAAAGAAGACCAAAGACAACCCTCAGAATGGGAGAAAATATTTGCAAATGAAGCAACTGGCAAAGAATTAATCTCCAAAATTTACAAGCAGCTCACGCAGCTCAGTATCAAAAAAACAAACAACCCGCTCCAAAACTGGGCAGAAGACCTAAACAGATATTTCTCCAAAGAAGATATACAGATTGCCAACAAACATATGAAAGGATGCTCAATACCACTAATCATTAGAGAAATGCAAATCAAAACTACAATGAGATATCATCTCACACCGGTCAGAATGGCCATCATCAAAAAATCTAGAAACAATAAATGCTGGAGAGGGTGTGGAGAAAAGGGAACCCTCTTGCACTGTTGGTGGGAATGTAAATTGATACAGCCAGTATGGAAAACAGTATGGAGATTCCTTAAAAATGAAAAATAGAACTACCATATGACCCAGCAATCCCACTACTGGGCATATACCCTGAGAAAACCATAATTCAAAAAGAGTCATATACCACAATGTTCATTGCAGCTCTATTTACAATAGCTAGCACCTGGAAGCAACCTAAGTGTCCATCGACAGATGAATGGATAAAGAAGATGTGGCACATATATACAATGGAATATTACTCAGTCATAAGAAGAAACAAAATTGAGTTATTTGTAGTGAGGTGGATGGACCTAGAGTCTGTTATACAGAGTGAAGTAAGGGAAAAAAACAAATACTGTAAGCTAACACATATATATGGAATCTAAAAAAAAAAATTGTTTTGAAGAACCTAGGGGCAGGACAGGAATAAAGATGCAGACATAGAGAATGGACTTGACACAGGGAGGGGGAAGGGTAAGCTGG